TAAAACAAAACACGCACACAGGCAAGAAACAGTTCAGCAAAAGGCATACAGCCCTTTGTTATTGTACAGCTCAGTTAAGTGAGGTCTACAATATTTGTTTACTGTGAAGGCTCTGAAAATAAATTGAAGCTCAATACACGCACACACACACAGACAGAGGCGCCTCACGTTAGCTCCGGACATAGTAACGCAAAGGGACTTTGATGGTTGATGTCGCAGATTGAATTATGCCCTTGAGGAAAAGCTATTAGCTCAGTGAAGAGCCCTCATTTGTTAAATTAAAAGTGGAAATGGCATGTGAGTAGTCTTTTCAGTGAATTAAAGTTGCAAACAAAATAGATTCCACTCCCTGCTAGTGGTACAAAAGGATATCTGGTGGAGAGAGAAAAAAAATATTTGTTTAGAGAGGTCCATCTCCCCTTGCTCCTTATTCCCTCAGAGTATTGTAATGTTTTTCTAATACACTAAGATTATTAGGCTACATGGTTTGTATCTTTGTCCCAGTATCTTATCTTTTTCTTCTTGTGGTCATCTCTGTACAGTGTACTCTATTAGAAAGGCGGAGTTTGACACTTGAGTCGTGCCTTTGTGTCTCCGGAGCTGGAACACTTTTAAGTCACCTCAAGTGAGATTTTTAAGATAAAGCATTCATATTAAAAGCAGATGAATACATTTGAATGCTCATTGTACCTATAGTATACACCAGAAACAAGCTTTAATCTTGGTCGACTTGGTGCTTGCTCAGGCCTCATCACAGAGCCCTGAACCCAGAAAGTCAACTTCTACTGTGCATTTGGCCTGTGTTGTAATTTTGCAGGGATTTACACATATATACATTAGCAGTATAATGATTTATGTAAATGTAAAAAATTTTATCTGCATCTGTACAAGCTTTTCTGCAGTACTCCAAAAATCCTTATACTTAAGTAAAGGTGTTGTATTCAACATTTGGTCACTTTCTCTTAAAGCAAAGCGTTATATTGAAACTATATTGTCCTATGAATAGTTTGGAATTGATTATGTTGTATTCCTGACTTTAAATTGAGCATGTATCACTTTTGAATTGTTATAACCAGGGAGTCACGGGGCTTTGATGAATTTAAAATATTTCACAGACACTGGACTGACACAAGAGTAGGTTTTCTGCAACTAAACAGCTCATAGAATATTTTACACTTCAGAGTTCATATACAAAATCTTGAATGTCTTTTCCATTTATTGGAAAATAGTTAAAGGTTAAATGGTGTCTTGTGATGGACAAATTATCAAATCTCCCTTATGCTCATACAATTAAAGATGCTCATGGCTACATTCACAATAATCAGTGAGATTACTGTTGTTTGAATAGCATACCATAATGCCTCTCATCTGCTTTGATACCTTAGTTATCGTCCACTGGTCTTAGATTTTTTGCTATAGGCAGAAAAACAGGGTAATGCCTCGGGAAAAAATCCACAGAGGAAAAACGGCCTATTTCTTACTTGATGGTTAGCTTGGCTTGGTGAATTGTTTGTCCTCTGGAATCACTGATGGACAAATGGTCTGAGTGATGTGGAGAAAAAGGACAAGGGCTACCTGCAGCTCTTCAGTGCAACATTCCCCGTGTGTCTTTAACTTCCCCTCCAGCATCCTTTCACAGACAAGGCTTACTGTGCATATTTGGTTTTCAGTCTTCACCTCTTGACCCAGCACTAAGAAATGTAAGCCAAAAGCTTGTACAAAAACCTTTTTTTTTGGCGACTACCGCACGACTTCCCTATTCCAGATTCCTCTTTCACACAGTGTTGGGCAAACAAAGACATCAACATCTCTGTGCCGTAATTTATGAAGCGCTGACAGCCTAAAGGGAGCAACAGCAAGAGTTTTACCAGCCAAAGGTCTTTCAGCACCTAGTATTGTGAAAGTTCCTTGAACATGTAGGCACACTTTCTGCTCCTATAAGAATTACTATTGAGCTGAGGTTTTTGAAGTTGTTGAAGTTTTGACAGCTCTTTTTTTTTTAGTTTCATATATATTTATTTAGATTAGCACAATATGGATGTGTTAATCTTTCTCTGATGAGTTTAAAAGTAATAGCAGTCAATTGTACATTTGTCGGTGCTGCACGTTAATATTTGCATCACAAACATGCATAGTTACATCTGATAATATGGATTTCTTTCTCTGCAACCAACCACCACACGTATTTAAGATATTACAGCATCATTTATTCAGCTATGTGGAAATGTCTGCTTTCAGAAATTGAAGAATGGTCATTGAAGATTAATCGTTTACTCATAGTTGAATATTTTTTAGGTAACGAGTGTAACACTTTGAGTAAAATGTCTGAGGTACAGCTTTGTTCTAGCTGGGCTTTTTATTTGGGGAACTTTTAAGAGTTCCATCTTGGACTACCATTTTAATCCAGTAGCTCAGAAGGATGAGGTAATGTTTATTTGCTGATTTCACTACATTTTGAATATAGCACCTGTCCATAAAATCATCTCTTTAAAACAGTGCAATTGTTTGCAAAGATGAGGTTCCTTAGATTTCTGCCATTGTGGCTAAGGTCACAGGCCACAAATGTTTTTCAGGTTTTGGTAATTCTCAGACATCGGTGGGTCCATTCCTATTTTAATACCCTACCAACATACTCTACACTGGAAGATTAACTGGAGAACCTCGTGTTTTTGGATTTCCTTCATTGCACCTTTCTGAAGATCTTGGACTCTAAACAAGATCAAGACCGTTGCCCTCGTGTGTCAGGGCTTTCTAATTGTTGGAGTGCGATACCATTCTCATATGATGATGATGATGATGATGATGATGATGATGATGATGATGATGATGATGATGATGATGATGATGATGATGATATATCCCCCTAGACCTGCTGTTCTGGCTCCCCCTTGTCATAAAGTCTTTGTTTACCTCATTGAGCTCTAGCTGTGAAAATTGATTTAATTTCCAGATTTAAGAATTTGAAAATTGGGCTGAAAGTTGTTCTTTGTCTTCAAAGTATCCATGGGATCCACGTCCTCTGCACCAGTTGTATTTCACTTGGCTTGGTAGAATGGTATCAATCCAGTAGTAGTAATATCCGCTCTATTCCAACATGTTTTTCTTCCAGTAACCCACTTGCCATCAGAATGTCCACCAACACCAGACACAGACTTTTTTCATCTGGGCTCTTACTTGTAGAAATAAAAGAAATGTTGAAAATAATCTGTGACTACAAAAGCTAAACTATGTGTATATATATATATATATAGAAGGAAATTTCATATTGTCAATACACAGATTTAATCACTCTACATTCATAGCTGTACATTTTCTAATTGTTTTTCTTTTTTACCTAATTTATCTTTTGAAATAGGAAAATGTGTTCCTTTCTTAGAAATGTGGTTTCCAAAGGTAAAGGTTAAGCAGCCATCAGGGAGTACATGACATAACTACAGGTCTTCAAACGCTTATCCGACCTCCTGTGTGATCCGCTACAACAGAATTTTACTGTCCAGGTTGGTTAAAAGCTTGGACAATAATACCAGCACTGGCTACTGTTCTGTGATTGCAACCATATGGTCAGCCCATTGCAGCTGAAAACCCTTCTCCGTCCGCTTCCTCTGTAACGGTCCTGACATGCTGAATAATCTAATAAATCCCAATGAATTCCCTTCAAAGTGAGACAGAAAGGGTAGGGTGCTTGGACAGTCTTTTTATGTGTTCCATTAAATAATAATAATAATAATAATAATAATAATAATAATAATAATAATAATAATAATAATAATAATAAT